GTGAGATAACAATGTCTCCCATAATGAGATAATAATATCTATAACAATGACACAATAATATCTCAATAGATGTCATCTTACATGGGTATAAATATACAGGGTGTCCCATAATTATGTTAACACCCGGAAATGGAAGGTAGCTGAGATCATTTAAAGTAATCTTTTCCTTAGCGAAAATGCAATCCGCGGCTTCGTTTACGAGTTATTAACGAAAAACGCTGACCAATGAGAGGCGAGATCAGCTGGCGCGAAACGGCCGAGCCAATGAGCGGAACTGGGCTTCGATGGTTGGACCGCCTCGCGCCAGCCGAGCTCGCCTCTCATTGACCACTGTTTCTCGTTAATAACTCGTAAACAAAAAGCCGTGGATTGCATTTTCATTAAGGAAAAAGTTACTTCAAATGACCTCAGGGATCGTCCCTTTCCGGGCGTTAACATAATTATGGGACATAATTATCGACGCTTTACATTTAGGGTTACTTCTTAGCATCACTACAGAAAAATTAAACGATGTAGAGCATTAAACGCGTTATTGCAATATATTACTAAATGATAAACAATATATTACTATTATACACAAATTTCTGCAGAATGCTGTAGTTGACATTGCTCATTGTAAATGGCTGACGCGAAATTGTTTAAAATCAGCGACGAAAAAGATCCATAAGCCGTCGATAAATGATTAAAGATGGCCCATTTCTTCAACGATCGTCAGAGTAGCATTCAGCAAGGAATAGCAGCGGCTGAATACCCGAATAAACGATGCATCTCGTCTCGTTGATTTTCGCCACCCCATTATTCATTCCCTTGTTTTCTTCTCCGGCATGTTTCGCCGGGCTCCCGAAACGATTCTGCAGAGAGGAAAGACAGAAAGTTCCGCGCGAGGCGTGCTCAACCACCGCGCGCCAAGGGTCGGATCCTAAGTTGCGGCAATTATCACTGTCGGGGGTAAACGACATGGTAATGAGAAATTTTAACGAGTTGCGCCGAGTGCACCGTAAATCCTGCACGTTCGAAGTACGTAATTAATAGCATGCAGCCACCGGCACGCGTGCTCCTCTCAAGTTTTTTGTCGCGTCGCGTCGTCGCTCGCGATTCGAGACAAGGATCCAACGAAATTTTTACGCGATGTCGACGAATTTTGAGTAGTCGACAGATCCATGCAACGGATCCGAATAACCATCAATTATCGCCTTTTAGTCATGAACTCGATAATATTAATAATATTGTATATTCATATTCTATTATATTAAAAATGAACTACTTTCCTCTGTAAACAATATACCTACACCTTTTTCTCTGATAATTTATCTTTTCATTCTCATTTCACCACTATTACTAGTTCTGTGTTTAAAACATCTCAATTTATTTTAATTTATTTTAATTTGTTATAATAATTTATTATGATTTATTTACTTTAATTTATTATAATGTACAACTTAAAGAATTTGTAGCATAAAAGAATGATATGGCATGGAATGATATAGCATGAAAGGATGATAATTGGCCATCTTTGACCAACGATAACTCCGCGAAAAGTCATCGTATGACGACGATCTTCTTCTCAAATTAAAGCTTGAAATCTCTATTTTCAGATAACGTTTCTATATCTTACGTTTGATGCACCCTAAGCACTGTAACCCTTTAAATGCGAGGCTATGTTTGTCATATTGAAGATTTTTTTCGGAAATGTCGTTCGTAGTAGAATGAAGTTTGATTCTTCGCCTTCAATTAAAAAAGAAAGGAAACGTGACTGCGACTTTTTTCATGAAGTTACAGCACTTTAAAGTAAACCTTGCATTTCGTCGAATAATACTTTTGAAAATGAAAATAGTTAAAAAATAGAAATTCTCTAATTCATGTTCCTGTTAAAATTTTCTAATCGTCAAGTTTTATAAAAAATTTTCTTTCGGATCGGCGCTGAAAGGGTTGACTGCTCTTTATCTCTGTAATAAAAGGTTTCGACCAGTAAATACTAAGTAAATGATAGTAATAATTTTGACGCAGTTCGAATGGCCGATCGAGTTCGCAGATTCGGGCTTAAATCGACTTTCTCGAATTTTTTTTTATGACTGAACACTCGGCTTCCGTGAAATGGCGAAGATTGCCCGAGTTCGAACTTTTATGCTTGCACTTCGACGTTGACTTCAAGCTTATGGCTCACGATTTAACTTTCGGGTCTTGACTGAAGGCTTTGATCATCGTCCCTTTTAATCTTCGATTTCCCCTGGTGCTCGGACTTTAATTCGATGATTTGTTCATTTGATCGCTGCGGAACCGAGATGAGTGACTGATCTTATTTATATTCGTAATTAATAATAATTTATTTATTACAATTTGCGAAGCTTTGTACCGACGTACCAGAACGGTCCGTTGATTGCATATGCGATCCTGGCAAACTATTTTAAAATTATCGTGCTATAATTTAAACATGTTCGCTGTGTCCGGCAGACATGCGATAGATGTTAATCTTCTTTCTTTTATAAGAAGTCGACGACAAAGAAATCCTAATCGCACTAGTAGAAAAATTTAAATAAAATTTCCAACTAGCAAAAATTATTATGGAAAGAAGGAGATTCCTAAATGAATCCTCTACTTTTTGCAATAAATGTAGATAATTTTTATTTCGCATAAAAATCCGCAGTCTAATCGTAAGACAAGTAATTATGCCCAGAATTTGAACAATCCTGTATTTGCAAAATGAACTGTCTGATTTAAAGCATAAATAAATGAATACACAAATACATAAATAAATAAATAAACACATAAATAAGTAAATAAATAAATAAATAAAAACATAAATAAATAAATGAGCCGTTTATTTTGAAAGTGGCCTAAGTCCATTTATTTTAAAATCCAGATATTTAAGGATTTCGCGTTTTAATAAATTTTAAAATATTGCTAACTGATAACATGATAGTATAATGTTTTTGTGCTTTTAAGGGTTATTGCGTATAAAACGTAGGCATGTAAATATTAAAATAGTTAGCTTGTTGTTTTTGGAAAATGGAATTAGGCCACTTTCAAAATAAAAAAGCTCAAATAGATTATTCTTGCGTTTCGAAAATTCTAATCAAACTGTCACTTTGTTACAGAAATAAATTCTTTAATTTGGACAAATGGCAGTCAGAGTGTCGGTAAGATTAATAGCAAGAGGATTCTGGATTTCCAGAATGCGGCTACGGATATATTGGTGTCACGGCGCGAGGATTCCAGAGCTCTCTCTCTCTCTCTCTCTCTCTCTCTCTATCCCTATCCCTTTCTCAAGCTGTTCAGTGTCACACGGAGAGAGTCCCATTTTTCGGGGAGACCGAGCGAAATAATTAAGAGGTTCCCGGGGGCGTATCGCAAGACGCGACCCTGACCTTCTTCCAGCCGCACTTTTCCGCAATCGCGACGCCACCAGGCTGTAACTGCTCTTGACATTTCCACCACGTCGATGATACAGAATAAAGTCACGTTCCAAGGCTTAATAAAGCCCCCGACTGCGACTAACAAACGACAATTGTAGATTCGATAATGAGCGTACCGTCTGAAATCCCTCTGCCTTTTGTTAGAACGCGAAGGACAAAAGGGATTTGCCGCGAGGAGAGATCTTAATGTAACTACACGAGCTATGTACCTTGAGGAACGGCGATAACAATCATTCTTCTCGGTGACACAGTTCTTCGTACATCCTTAGAAAATTAATTTTTGTCGGAGCCTGTAACCTTGAATTTCGCGAGAAGAATGGTCCAATGAATAAGCAGTTCGTAGACGAGCTGTAATTCTACAATTTGATTTAGAACATTAATCAAATCAATTTGATTTTGTGGAACCTTTGAGAGTTGGTTGGCAGTTAAAACGGTAATCGGCAATGTTGAAATTATAAAATTAGAAGGAGCGATATCTGTATCGTCTAGTAATTGTTTCATTAAAATATATGTATAATGTATAAATATATTTATGCGTTTGTCCTTATGCATTTGCTGCATAGAAAAATTTCAGGTAGTGTAGATTCGAAATTCAAAATTAATTTATCTTAATCCTTCAGCAATATCACTAGACTACGCGGATTTTATGCATTTATAACAAAAATGTGTATTTATAATGTCAATCAATAGAAAGATTGAAAACTTGCTTTCGACCTACTAAGATTATTAAAGAAAGAAAGCAACATTTAAGTTACTCTTATTCTTTTTGCAACAGATAGAGACAATTTGCATTTCGCAT